AGCGTTATGAAATTTTAAAAAAAATGGAAGATAACGGTATCACTAACGGCACCGTTAATGTGTCCACAATGCATGCTGGACACGAGTCCATAGCATAACGATTGCAAAGGTCCCAATCGTTATGTTGTGCATCCGTATGTATCATACATGGTGCATACAGATGCAAAAACGACATCGTTTTGACGTCTAACTTAAAAAAAAAAAAATCAGAATTGCATAACTACACATCCATAATTTCATAACTATACATGCAGAATTACATAAGTACATAACTACACATCAATAACTTCATAAGTATACATCCAGAATTGCATAACTACACATCCATAACTTCATAACTATAAATTCAGAATTGAATAACTACACATTCATAACTTCATAACTATAAATTCAGAATTGAATAACTACACATCCATAACTTCATAACTACACATCCAGAATTGCATAACTATACATCAAGAATTGCATAACTATATATCCAGAATTTCATAACTAAAAATCTAGAATGAATGATCTCAAAAATGAATAACATAATGTTGTTGCTGAGAATCGAAACTGATTTTTTCTTTTAAGTAGGACGCACGTTTTGATGCAAAACGACGTCGTTTTTGCATGTGGTTTTGCCCAAAGGTCCGGGTTGGGCTACTAGCCTACTACAATGCAATAGTTATGCTGTGGGCTTGTGCCCAGCGTGCATCATGGGCACGGTAACGGTGCCGTCAGGCACCGTTATCTTCCCTTTTTTAAAAAAAAAAAAAATTTAATTTCAGACCGCTTCGTTATAGGAGCATATATTCACAGCTTTGTGTTCATAATTTCATAACTGTACATTCATAATTCCATAACTTTACATTCATAATTCTATAACTGTACATTCATAATTCCGTAACTGTACATTCATAATTCAATAACTGTAAATTCATAATTTTCGAAGCTCTATGTTCATAATTGTAAGTTCATAATGTCAGAGTTCTATGTTCATAATTTCATAACTGTACATTCATAATTCCATAACTGTACATTCATAATTCCATACTGTATATTCATAATTCCATACCGAACATTTATAATTTTCGAAGCTCTATGTTCATAATTCCATAACTATACATTCATAATTCTATAACTGTACATTCATAATGTCATAACTGTATATTCATAATTTCATAACGAATATGCCGTTAACGGCGTTACGAACAAATTTTTTTTTTTTAATTAAAATAGCGTCGTTTTCACTAAAAACGACGCCGTTTTAGCGCCGTGCGCACCTTGCACGTGCGCATAGCATAATTTGCCACTACAATGAATGGACCTAAACCCAACCCAATTTGACGTTTAGTCTAGTCGTTTACCACCTTGTTTATCTCCGTCCCGCTCCCGTCTCCCCAAATCAGAGAGTAAGCAATGGGTTTCGGAGCCATAAGATCCGTCGCCCGACCCGTTTCCAGAGCCCTATTCTCTTACCGGAATATCTTCGCTGTTTCATCTCCTTCCACCTTTCCCTCCCTGTCGCCGGAGCTCCGGTTGCTCTTCCGCCCTAAGCTGCCATGGATCCCGCCTTCCACCGCCTTCCACAGCTTAACGGACACCCGGTATCCGAAGCGAAGACCAAGCCTCAAGTCCCGGCGTAAAAGGCCAATCCCCAAACCTCCAGGTCTATTTTCATTTTAGCGTCATTTTCCCTCTTGGCCCCTATAATTAGGGTTTTACTTTTAGGGGTTTTACGATTTTTTTTTTGGAAAATGGAAATTTTATGATTTTCTGTTACACTGTTATAAGCATGTAGATATATATTAGTGAAAGAAATGTAAAAGACTATGTGGAAGGATTAAGCATTTGTGATTTCTATATTGCTGAAAAATGGGACCTTTTTAGCTCATGGCTGGAAAATCATGAAAATAATTTGTTTGGATATATTAGAAAGAAAAAATTAAAAATGGTTCATAAGGCCTTATTCTTGGAACGTAGGGCTGTATGTTGTGGCTAAGCGACTGCCCCATGACCCAAAACCTCCAAAGAACCCCAATGAAGGGAGTCTGAAGCGGAGGAATGAGAAGAAGAGAATTAAACAGCGCAAGGCGTTTATTGTGGTATGTTCTTTTGTAATTTTTTTTCCTGGTTTTGTTCTCTGAGCATGATGCGTTTTCTTGACAATTAGACTGTCTTTTAGGATTGTGGCTAAATGAGTACCCTCATAACATATGCACACCCCCCCATAAAGAATGTGCATTACGGAATCAGACATAGAAGTGTTAATTCTGCTTTTCGTTGTTGATTTCTAAGTAAAATGGTTGATGAATTTTGTCAAAGTTGTTTTGAGTGTGATGAGTACCCGATTGTGATTGAGGGCAACTTATGTCGGTAGTTCTTATTTGAGGATATGCATGAATTTTCATATAATGTACTTGTTCTAAGTGATTTATCTTATTTGATCATAAGATTTTAACTTTTAAGTTTTGCTCTTTGAACTAGGATTCTTGTTAACTTTTACCATTAAGTATAACGCAAAAGGAAAACGTGGGCCTGTGAGGCACTCATCGGGTGCTCTGCTTAATACAGATAGAAACTAAATCACTACTGATTCTGTAAAAAGTATGTCTTTCATATGGGCTGGTTTAGGGAATTGTAATATTGTATACTATTGAGTGTATTAAAAGTAGTGATCATATACTGCAGAAAACGACCTGACTTTAAGAAACAATATAGAAATGAATTCAGAATTCAAGAACCAAAATGTGACATTTTGGTATCAAGATTTGACGGAGATACAGATTAGAGCTTATATAAATAGCGGTTGGCTGATAGCTGTTAGCTGATTGGGTTAGTGAGTTTGATTAGTTGATAGTATTGGCTTATTGTAGAAAGATGTTTAGTAAATTAGCTGTTAGCTATAACTGATTATATGCAAAATGACTTTCTCATAAAGCTAATCGAAAAAGCTGCTTTGAGCAGTTTTTTGAATTTTAGCCTTTTGGAGCAATAAACTGTTACAAAAAGTTAATTAACCAAACATTTATTGTTTAACCAAGTCAAACAACTAATAGTGGTCAAACAAGCCAAAATTGGCTGATAAGCTAACTATTTTACCAAACAGGGCCAAAGAATTTTAATGTTTTGTATAACTGCATCCCCTTCCTGTACCAATGTACCATGTCCATTTCTTTCCTAGTTGCACTTGTGTCTTTCTGTTGGAGATCCTATGTTTCCTCTGGATAAAGTTTTGTTCAACGATGTGCAGTCTGAAAAGAAGAAGCGCAAGGCTCTGGTGCAGGAAGCCAAAAAGAAGAAACTAATTAAAAGAGTTGAGCGCAAGATGGCTGCAGTAGCAAGGGAAAGGGCATGGGCCGAACGACTAGCTGAGCTGCAGAAGCTCGAGGAAGAGAAGAAGGCGGTTGTCATGGCTTAACATTCTGTTTACTTGAATCTCGTATGTCAGCCATAATTCTTTTTGCTCTTCTCCGATCAGGGGTTATAGGTCTCGACGTTGTCTCTTTTTTTTTTTTTTCTGGGTCTCGACGGTGTCTTTGTGTTTGCTTCTTTGCAATCTTCCACAGCTCAGTCTGTATGGACTTATGGTCTCCTGGTGTCCTCAACCTTTTGGTTCAATGTCTTTGTTTGTTATTAGAATTATCAAGTGGAAGTATATGCACTGAATTTATACCATGTCAAAACAAGTTCTGCTTAGCTACAGCCAATTGTTATTGTCAGTGGTCCAAGGACCTTGCATTTGCATTGATTGCATTCAGTTAATAAATATTGCTTAGAATTACTCCTAGATTTGTGACCGTAATTGGTAAAGAATCAGATAAATTAATTTGGGTTATTTATAACTGATCGACTCAAATCAAGAAGGTTCAATAAATCAAAGAAGGCCAATAGACGACTCTATGGGAGTTGAACTTGAAAATTTAAAATATTGTAGTTATTAAACTATCTTACCAATTTGGCTGGGGGTGTCTCATACTATACAATATCTTGCCCATGAATGGTGAAATTTTCTCGTCCTCAGAGTCCCTACTTCTCGGCCCAATATGATAGTTGATGGATAAATCAAATTTGCTCAACAATCCATTAAGTAGGAGGAATCCTGACCCAACAAGATTGTTGATGGATAATCAATGATATTCAATGACCCATTAAATGGTAGGAATCCCAGCCCAACAGGATTGTCGATGAATAAATCAAAGTCACCCAACGACCCATTAAATAGGAAAATTAGTGTCTAATGTTCACAAAAAGCGTACTCTCACATTGCGGTTATTAATAATCTATTAAAGAATCAATTAGCTACTCATACAAGCATATTGTACAATATTTACTATTACTTTTGGTCATTATTGGTGGGGTGCGGCGATGCACGTGTGCAAAACATGGGACGGGACCGCCACCACCTTTCAATTTCATATTATCACTCCACAACCACCCTATGTTTTGTCATTCCCATGGGACATAATCGTGACTTTTAGGTAACAAATTAAGAATTAAGGTTGCAATAATGATTTTCTCCACTTGCACAATAGTACTAATCCAAATCCTGGCCCCCTCATAAAGCATAAAGCAAGACTAATACACTTGAACCAACTTTTAACCTCTCCAATCCTTTATCTTATCAAATTCCCCTTTTAATGGCTGTTAATTAGTGACCCAACGTTTAGTGCATGAAAGTAACTTTAAGAAAAGTAATTTAGCGTATATGACTCATGATAACTTTCCTAGGTTGTCCCTTCACTCTGTCCGCATGGGTAGCTCAACTGGTTATAAAAGTGAAAGTTTGGAAGAATGACTAAAGATCGAGTCAGTTAAGTTACATCCTTCCAAATGTTCTCAAACTTTTCAGATTTTTTCAATCAAAACACTCATGTCAATACCCCAACTCTCCACCAAGTGGAGTTGAAATAACTCAAACTAACAACCTAACTTCCCACAATCTTGTATGTAGGTGATATATGACTATATCAATATGTTTATGTATGTATATCAATCATGACTAAAACGGCAAATAATTCAAGTAAAATTTAACTTATCAATTGAATTAAAAAAAAAAAAAAAAAAAGCATTTATACTCAAAACTATTCAAGACCATACAATCGTTTCCCTGGTTGAATCTACAGACTGGCCTGGGCCTCATCGCCATAAAATTACAACGTTTCCAGTTGGCATATGAGTTGCAGTGCGAGTGTTTGAAGGAAGAAATGGCGACATAAATACTGAGGTAGTCTGTAAAAGGTGGAAAAATAATGGGACAAATTTGTTTGGTCTGAACTAGAGAAGATGCTCCACGGCCAAGGGCGTGATGGTGATGGGCAGCTTCCGCCTCATTTTCACCGTTGGGAAATACACTATTTCGTCCTCCTCCGCCACCCACCTGTCCACCACAACATCACCCTCCTTAGTCCCCATTATTGCTCAATAATTAATTTACTATTGCTACCAATAATATCAAAAACAAACTCACAAAGTGTACTATTAGCACCGGTAGTAATAGTATCCGATACAACTAAGTATACCCTATTCAGCTGTATCAGGTACTATTTTTCATTCTTTTTTTAATAATGAGAGAAATCCAAACCACGGGGTATATCCTGCCTTGTGATTTTACCCGACAAAAAATCACAATGAGGTAAATCAACCTCGGTTACTCATAGTTGAGTGAGTGACGAGAGAAACCCGAGCCTACTACCTGAAGGTATGCACGAGGTAAATCACATCTTGTGACCTTAACTGGCAGAGGATCACAATGAAGTAAATCAGTCTAGATTGACATAGCTGACTGACTCAAATAAAAAAAGGGTCAATAGACTGCTTCCTTAGGTAGTTGAACTTGTAACTTTGTAGTTATTAAATTAACAGTCTGACCAATTTTGATAGGGTTTTTTCCAACTTTTTGATTTTGACATGGTAAAATGAGTAGTATGAAAAAGATTTGTCTAACATCACTCTTTAAAATAATATACCTATAGGTTGTAACGAAGTGATGCAGGAAAATTGCGATTTCAAGCCTGGAGAGTTCTAGACCAGGACACAACCTTTGCCCACCACCGAATGGTGTAAACTTGCTGCTGTTTATGTTAATTCCAGGTTTCTGTCCAATAATAAATATTTTTGTCACACATTAAATTAATTAACTGAATTAATCGAAATATAATAATTTTCTTATAATCAGGAGAACACACCTCCCATCTCCAAGGATCAAACTCGTACGGGTTTTCATAGTTTTCCTCGTCCATGTGCACTGACGTCAAGGATGCCAAGACACACCACCCTTTTGGTATCAAATGTCCTGTAACACCAAAACATTTAAAAAAAAATTATTTTGTTTATTTACTGTTTTTGAATTATTACCCGGAAAATAAAGTTGATTTGATTTTCTGGCTTCATTACAATTCACATGCTAATAGGGGAGGAATCAGACCTTTGATTTTGACATCTTTCTGTGCTTTCCTCCACACTGCATTTATAATATTTGCTATCCTTAGGGTCTCGCTAATCACCTAACATTTTCATTCATTTCCCAATCAGTTCGAACTTTTAGTCAAAACTAAAAAAGACAGATATAATATTTACGAGTATAGTAATATACATTTTGGGTGAATGAGAGTGACATGTAATCGGTCCAAATGTATTCTTCCCCGGAATTCAACTTTCGCATACGTAATTTCATGTTCTCCTCCTGCAACAAGAAAATTAATCTTTTATATATTAGAAAAAAAAATAATCCTACAAAACATGTCTGTTGATTTTAGAATGACAAATTATGAACAAGAACATAGGATCGGGCCGTAATGTGTAACTCATTGGGGTTTAATGAGTGACTGTGATTTATCCCTTCTGTCGGACTAAAATGTGAAGGGCGGAGCAAGAGAGACTCTACCAAATGGGAATCACGGGTTTGATCCCCAGTGAAGATGGTTTAACTCTGTGCTTCATTGGATTAAGAAAGTAGTTATAAACAGATACTACATTGTAATAGAGTCAGCCTGAGTAATAATTTTTTAAAAAATGTGAAAATTTTGGGAAAAATAATGCAAAAGGAATAAAGGCGGTGACAAGAGGGAGGGACAAAGCAGTAAAAGTAGAGGGCGTCAATGGCAGAAAGTTGTCCAATCGAAAACGTACGGCGACGACACATCCCACACTCCTTACACCCACGTGGATGCCCCACGTGCGGTCGTGCAGACAGTGACGTGAAAAGTCAAATGGAAATATTAAATTAAAAACATTTTTTAATAAAAAATACGGGTACTGCACAATCATACGAGTGACGTTTTTTCCTCTGCCGTGTCCCCACTGCACTCTCGTGGGCGTCAGTCTGATCCCAGCCGTTGATTTCCGCCCGCCCATTCCCATCCGTCCGTTTATTACACCCACTAAAATTAATTAAAAAGCTGAAAATTATATAAATTAATGAAAATAGGAATGCATACCACTAACTGGGCTAGCGTCACGGGGTTGTCACTTAAGAATTTGACAACTAACGTCATCGCCGTCGGAAGCGTCTCCTCGCCGGGAATCATCATCTCTATGAGGTTGCTGGTGATGAAATCCAACGGTAGCCGTTGCCTCGTCCCGTCCGATTCTCCCGTGTCACGTAACAACACATCAATTGCGTCAATTGGATCGTCTCTTTTCTCTATCTCCTTCTTCCTCTCTTCCACCATCTTCCCAACCATTTTCAACAATTTCCCCTTTGCCTATAATTTATATTTTTATCTTTAAAATATTAATAAAAAGTACGAATTATTATATAATTAAATAAAAAGTGACATGGCATACCTTAAGGGACTTATACAACGTTGTTCCAGGGAATTTAACAGGAAAACAGATCAACCCCTTCATGAATTCTTCAAATTCTCTCTTCATGAAATCCAAATCTTGACCTGGCTCAACACTCAACAGCACTTTGACTAGAACTTCGAACGCAATCTTAAGGTATCCAAAAAGAATAAAAAAAAAATTATTACACGGTACAACATTATTTTTGCATATATAACAGTACATACAATATTCATCCACCAAACATATCTTCAGAATAATTTCATTACAATCTTTGTTGGGCACTTGGGCTCCCCACATGATTAATATCCTTACATATAAATGTCAAATCAAATAATTGCTGTAATACTAATAATTAAGTCTTTATAACTTATCATTCATTTTTAAACTCACCCCTATTTGCACCATAAAATTATTTAAAAAAAAAAAGAATCTATCATTATTTAAAAAGAAAATTGTCCCCAAAAAAGGTGGGGTCCACAACTAGGAATTGTAAATAAATGCATGCATGTGGGTGGATATAAACAGAGGGTATGGATAAGGACCTGTTTGGCATGATCTTGGAGGTAAATAACGAGGCCGTTGTTTTTATCCGCCCAAGCCGACAGCGAGCGGCGGACAGAGTTCTGAATGTGGGCGGTGAGACGGGCTTTGTGCAGCGGCGATTTCAAGAAGGTTCCGATGAGCGCGTGTACTCTCTTGTGCAGAGATCCGTTCATCTGCAGAATTGAATTCTTGCCAAACAGTTCCGTCACTGATTTCGGATAGGAAGGCACGAATATGTTGCCGTGGTTCAGTAACACAACCTTGTTCACCTCCGGGTCGGTTGATACTATGATTGGTTTCCCCAACAAGTGTGTCTTGAACACCTTCCCATACCTTTTCACCCATCAACACACAATCCCACACACATTAATTCATTTGCATCACTATATATATATATATATATATATATATATATATATATATATATATATATATATATATATATATATAAAGACTTATTGAGAACATTATCAAACAGAACTTATAACTTATTAGTAGTTTAAAATAAACTATAAATTCTTAAATAAGCTCGGCCTGTTGAGCATATAACCATTAATGTGCAATTCAACTATAAGCTTAGATTTTTAGTTGGAATAGAGTGCTTCAATTTAATATTATAACTAATCCAAAGGTACGTGAGGAGACGTGTTGAACATATAGTTATTAATGTGCAATCTAACTTTCAGAAATGTGTAAATCTAGTTAATTTGGGATATAAGGCTGGGGATGTGAGGTTTTTCTGGTTGGGGAAGTGAGTAGGATAATAGGGTACAGGGGCTAGAATAGTAGAGTGGGGGGGAGTGGCAGCTTTTATAATTAGTAAAATGAATGCTGCTTTGTTGCAAAATCTTTTCTTGTTTTTGATGAAGGGAAAGGGAAGCTGCTGCTGGGTGCAGTAATAATGTAGCCATCTATTGGTAAAGCAAAAGGGGAGGGTACAATGCTTCCATGGAAAAAGATGTTTCCTTTTTGCAGTCAGAGCATCATCCTTCTAATGCTCATTTTAAGTACTCCCCCTCTCTTTTAAGTCAAACCCTCTTTCATCCTACTCTCATTCCATTTAAACCCCCATCTTTCTCTCTCCACAATCATAATTCTTCTAATTACAAATCATAAATTTGATTCTTGTTAATATTCTTTTCGATTCAAAGTATCACATAAAAAGACACAAAATCTTTTTGATACAATTTACCTTTTCTCATGTGATTTGTATCCTATTACATAAGAATTTACCCATTGCATATCTTCCTCTAATGAATGCGAATTTCTCTCATAAAAAAAAAATTCATATTCTTAGCTATTATAGAAAATATTTTAAAGTTCCTTCTAAAGAGCCAAATTCGGGTCATGTTTTACTCGCTAATGTAATGAAAAAGAAATAAAAAATTATTTAAAGAATCAAGGCTGATAATATAGTCCTAAATTATTTTAGGGTACTACACAAAATTCCTCACTAATTTGATGTTTTACATTATTTTTGTCCCACTATATTTTCTTTTCATTATTTTAATACTTAATCTAACCAAATATTTAGCCTAATTAGATATTTTCATAATTATAGACTATATAAATAAAAATTGTTATAATAATAAAAAAAATCATGACAATAAGCTTTTGGTTTATATTACATAACATTTTGTTGTTAGACATTTTTAAACCCGTAAAATACTTAGACTAATTCCCGTTGTATCGGGTTGCTCAATTCAGGGGCAAAGTGCTCGAATTTTGACATTAAGATTTGTGTCACGGGAACAAAACTTTAGGAGTTAGAATGTGATTAGTTTAATAATAAAAACAAAACATATGAGACCAAACCATGTCACACGTGAGATTGTTAGATGCAACGGTGAAAAAAAAAAAAAAAGAATTATAAAATTGTGAGTGGATATCACCAAACTAAAGGTCGACAAATAATTTTTGGAGTTAACGGAGTTATTCATAAGGTGGTGTCGGCAATAATAGAAAGAAGACATGAGAACTGCTAGTTGTGGAATTTAATTAACATGATTAATCCCACATCTCTATCAAGATTAATACATTATTATTCGTAAAGCTAAATTATTATATTATATTATATTATATTATATTTTCAATTTAATAACTAATATAATTTATTAAATATATAAATTAGAATATTTTAAAAATGAAGTCAATAAGGATTAAGGAGTGAAATTTCCTGGAGAATTTAAAATATTTGTGTTTAAAAAAAATAAGAAAATTAAGGAGAAATGGAGAGAGAGAGAGAGAGAGAGAGAAAAGGAAAGGCCGTTTACTCACAGAGACTTGCGTTTCTCCATGAACGAGACGGGGCGGGAGGTGTAGCCGCTAGCTATGAAATCGAGCGTTTCGCCTAACAGCGGCCAGCCGGAGCTTCCTCTCGGAACTCTGCCGTCAATTTCTCCGTCATCGTTATCCGGTTTTCTCGTCTCCTTCCGCCGCGCAACCACCAACCAAACGCCGGCTGCGGCAACCATAACGGCCGTCGCGATCACGATAGCCAAGTCCAAACCGCTTCCGGTCGCCGCCGCCGCCGATTCCCATGTCTTCTCCTCCATCTCTTCTCGATTTTCTCGTCTTCGATCTAATCCAAAACCACATACGTTCTCAGTAGTCCGATATTATATAGATATACTGAGTGTATGTATATATGTATGAGTGAGTACATGCAGTGGTCTCTTCTATCTCTATATATTTATATATATATATAACGGCGGGGAGGCGGGGATAGTGGGGTGGTAGGTGGCGGGGGGGGGGGGGTGAATATTTGATTGGGATACGAACACCATAAATGAAAGGCCATTTTTGCTTCAACAGCGGTAGGGAAAAAATTCTTTGGTGGGCCGAATGAGACCTTTACTAAGACAAAATAGTAAGAAAAAAATAAAGAACAAAAAAAAGGCAATTGATTTTATAGTAAATAATTATTGAGATATTATTACATATTTACATATACCATATCAGTCAATCATATTTAAATATTTAAGGGAAAATGGCACTTTTTACCCCTGAGTTATATACTTATAGCACTTTTTCTCCCTCAATTATTTAGGTAAGCACATTAGCCCCCTCAATTATTCTAAAAGTGGTGCTTTTTCCCCCTGATATATTAAATTGACATTTATACCCTTAAAGTAAACATTTTATTTATTTTACTACACCAACAAATTATTGCGTATACGTAGGGATGACCACTGTTCGATTTGAATTGAACCGGATACTAAAGCAATCGAATTAATAGTTTACGGTTATAATTCAGATCTAGAACCCAATATTTAAATGTCAATTTATTAAAATTATGTATCAAAAAATTGAATCTTGAACCGTGAACCGGCGGTTCCGGATCTGATTCGTGGTTTTGAACCGTCTTTATTTTAAAATTTTATTTTTTATTTTAAAATAGTCTAAATTCAACAATAAATGTATTTTATTTTTTTTCGGAACATGAACCGTCCGTTCCGGTTCACGATTTTAATAAACTCTAAATATCGAATTTCGATTCTAAATTGTAATTGGAATATTTCGGTTTGGTTGCTATAGTGTTTGTTTAGTTTGAACCAAATTATGGTCATAATTTGTTGGAGAAAAAAATAAATTAAATATTTAGTTTAAGGGTAAATATGTCCATTTAACATTTCAGGGGGAAAAACAGTCACTTCAATAATTTAGGGGGAAAAAATGCTATAGGTATATAACTCAGGGGGAAAAAGTGCCATTTTCCCAATATTTAATTGATTTTTGCAAAGTTGTAATCAATTTTAAATTTGGAATATCTCTAAAACTATAGACATAAAATTAATCAAGAGTAAATACTCAGAATGGTCCTTCGACTATAGCTAAATTCACAAATTGGTCATTGACTTTCAATTTCAACCAATTAAGTCCTTAACTTTGCAATTTTAGCACAATTTGGTCATCTGTCTATGTGACCGTTTGTTAACTGTGATTTTTGAGGATATATATGTAATTTCATGGTCCATCGTCGGGTTTTTAAGGTTCCGGTTGCATTTCAGACCGCACTGTTACATTTGAATCCACTACCGAAAGCAATCTACCAAATTCGGTCGCCTTTCTTCATCCTCCCTTTGGATTCAATGTAATTGAGTTCGTACCAGAGCGAAGAAGACGACGTGTTTCCGAACCGATGCAATGTCATTCTGGAGGCCTCCACGTGCTCCGATGAGAGCTAAAGGTTCTTCTGAAGATCGTCGATCACGGTCAATGGTCAAATAGATGGAGGACCAAATCGTGTCAAAATAAAAACACCCTTTTGAATTTGGAAGATTTTGCAATAATGGTAATCAATTTTTGCGCAGCACATAAATTGTAATTAATTTTAAATTTAAAAAAACTACATTTAAATATTATTTTTTGGATACTTCAGCAATGGTATCTTCCCGTCCTCAAATTGACCCAATTTTTGCTAAGTAATACTCACACTTACTCCCCTCATTTAAGATATGGGAAATTTTTATAACCTGATAGTGGTAAAAATTTTGCGAGAATGTATACTCTTACTGGATATCGTCTTAAAAATTGGGCTAGAGGAGTGTAAAATAAAAATTTGGTCAAGCACAAACCATGCAAAGTATTTAAGAGCTAATAACTTCAACAAATTGATTAGGAAACATCATTGGAACAAAGTACAAACAAAGAGCAATTTAAGTAATTCACAAACGTAAGGAATGGAACATGGACTCATAATCTTACTATCACTTACTCTTCCATAGATGTTAATGGAAAGCTAGGGATTGGGGATCATGTAGTGGATTAGCAAGAGTCATGGGAGATGCAACAATGGTGTTAATGTTATTATCATAGCAAAATGATTAGACTTGAAAAGTAAAAGCAAAATGATTATCATACCTCTTTGCACGCCAAAGATTCTGCCATTAGAGGGGAAAAACAGTCCGGGAGATTGCTGTTGAAAGCCGCCGTGTAGCTTCCATTCGTGTCGAATAAAACAGCTACTACCGTGGTTTTGTTGGTCGAAGGATGAAAGTCAGCGTCGAAGAAGCATTTCCGCATGGGGACAATAGCGCGACCTAGGCAAGACTCCTCCGGAATCATCTGCGGGCTGCTTCGCGAGTGGACGGAACGCCATGCATATAGTGCGGCAGTGGCAGTCGCAACAAGCTTCTTTGGCGACAGGAGGAAAGCATCCCAAATTGCGCCGTTTCTCGCCTTCCAAATGTAATATAATAGGGCAGCTGTCAACATGATGTCATCGATGTCTAAAATATTTAAAGCTTCATTAAACCAAACGTGAAAAATATTTGCAACAATATTGGAGATTGGAAGGTGGGATTCACACCATATGGAATTAGCAAAATCACACATAGGCTCTGTTTGGCAAACCTAGCTGAAAAGCTATAAGCTAGGAGCTGAAAGCTGAAAAGGAGAAAGCTGAAAAGCTATAAGCTCGGAGCTGAAAACTGAAGAGCTGTTAAGCTAGCTGTTATGATTGAAAGTGTTTGGTAATATTAGCTTTTTGATAAGCTGATAAATGTAAAAAGACTAAAAAGGACATCTTTATAAAATTTAAATTAGTTTGTTTACATATTAAAATTTAATATTTTGAAATAAAATTATTAGCATAATCATGATCTAGCATCTCATAATGAAGTAGCAATATTGTTACAAATGTCATAATAATAATAATAATAATAATAATAATAATAATAATAATAATAATAATAATAATAATAATAATAGTAATAATTATAATAATAATAATAAGGAATAAGGTTCAAATTGGCCACTAAACGTAACCTGAAAATGCAATTAGGCCACTAAGCAATTAGGCCACTGAACACTCCAAAAATGTGAAATTTCACCTGATAGCAGGTTACCCTCAATTTTAGCAGGTTATCTGCTTACGTGGCAGCTGAGTTGGCATTTTTAATAAATTTTAATTAATTTTTAATAATTTTTAATAATAACTTTTTATTAATTTTTTTTTTTAAAAATAAAAACGACTTTATTTTATTTTTTATTTAATTTTTTCCAATTTTTTTATAAAAGTTATTATTAAAATTAATTATTAAAAATTATTTAAAAATGCCAACTAAGCTGCCACGTAAGCAGGTAACCTGCTAAAATTGATGATAACCTGCTATCCGGTAAAATTGCATACGTTTGGAGAGTTCAGTGGCCTAATTGCACATTTTTTGAGAGTTCAATGGCCTAATTGCACTTTTTTTTTTTTTCGTTCAGTGGCCCAATTGCATTTTCAGGTTACGTTCAGTGGTCAATTTGAACCTTATTCCTAATAATAATAATATTTGCGGTAAAAGTTGCGGATAAAGAAAAAGAGAAAATAGTTTTAATTGGGAAGGGTAAATTATGTCATTTCTTTAAAATAATAAGGATAAAGATGGGAAAAAAGTTAGGAAGCTAGGAGCTTATTTTGAAACGCTACCTAAGGTAGCGTTCCAAAATAAGCTCTTATTTTAAGCTATGAGCTTATTTTGGGAGCATTACCAAACAGAGCTTATAGCTTATTAGTAGCTTAAAATAAGCTATAAGCTCCTAAATAAGCTTTGCCATACAGAGCCAATATTAAAGCATGCATGGTATCTTCATGGTAGAGACCACACATGGCACATGTTGGATCAACTTTCACCCTCTTTAAAAGCAAGTTCTTGATTGTGGGAAGAATATCATTTAAGGCTCTCCATAGAAAGGTATTCCATTTGGGGGAATTTTAGCTTCCAGAAAGAGAGTCACTTATTAAAGGTGCCCCATTATCAACATAATTTCCAACGATGAAAATATAATCTAACCTAATATAACTAGATTCTAAGTAGAGAGAAGTTGGGGAGTGGAAATCTAAAAGTTACCCTCAAAATAAGAGTCCATCCCCTTTTGTAACGGTTGAAATCGCACCTTATTATAACGGTTCCATGATCAACGTCATATCGTGACGACTTACCAAAATTTTTGATTTTTGAGCTATTCTTCATCTACTAGATGTTTGAACTAGATTTTGTGATCTTCATGAAAATTGTATATCTCTGAAATAGCTTTCGGATACTGTTAAAAATTAAAATTAATACGTATAAATCGCCTAAATGACACACATGAATCAAATAAGTACATATATAGCTTCAAATTAGCAAAAATATCATATGAATTTAATGTCAAATATACACAAAAGAAATATAGTAAGAATCCACACTCAAACAGAATTCCACATTCAGCAGAGACATTAATTTCTGAAGTCAGTAAAATTCAAACTACAAAGCATTAAACATACAATGAAAATTACAACATCCAAATTACAATGCATCAGGAACTACTTAGATTTCAATATACTAATGTCCATTCAATGTCATTAATAAGCCAACACTAACTGATAGAACTGTCTATCAATTAGTCAAAGGCAGAAATGTCTATGAACTAAAATAGGGCTTATAGAACTGTCAACTGTGCACCTTGGAGCACAGAATTATAGTACTTCTTCAGTTATACTATGTCTTACAGGTTAGACTGTTTGCTGTTAATTATGACACCTACTATTCATCTGGAGATATACAGTGGATTCATCTTCATTTCTGCCAAGAGCAAATAGCATAGTTTCCATTTTTGTGCAAAACAAGAAGTCAGAATCCTGGCAAAGAGAACAGATCATGACTGGAAATGGGAAGGACTGGAATCAGTTTCATGAGAACTTAAAGCTTTAGAGTAAAAAA